ATTCCTGACCCACTTAGAAACTGTCAGATAATAAATGTTTGCTGTTTTCAGCTGCTATCTTTTGGGGTGATTTGTAATGCAGCAAGAGAGAACTAATGCACCAGTTTTAACATGTATGACCCCCACAAGCTCTGTGTATCTATTTTAGCTCTTGTCCACCTTCATTCAGATGTTAACATACTCACTCAGTTGTTACACACACGTTGTTCAGTTCAGTTGTTATTCACACGTTGATATTTTATTCACATTTGAATGCTAAACACAGTACTTAAACATAAAATATTCATTCAAATGTACATGAAAGCTCTCAGATGTTGCCTTACCCCAGGTTCCCAAGAAAGCAGTCTGAAGCAAATTTTATGTGCCAACATATTACTAGTGATACAATCCCAGGGTCACCAGGGTGAGGGGAAACAGGGAAGGGAGGTGGGGAAGAACACAGATAAATACCGAGCTGGCCACAGCTTCACCCATTGCTTAGTCACACCGGAAGTCTCCAGAAAGATGACATGGAGTCATGGCACCTGGAACAGTCCATGAGAAAGAGAAAAAGGGAGTCATTTGTTTGTTGGTTCCTTCCTGTTTCCTGTCTCTCCTTGGTCAAACTTCATCCAGTGGACATGAAAGCCCATCTACGCTTCCAGGTTGTGCTATCCACATCCTTAGGGCAGCCACTGGGGAAACCAAACCCCATGCCCATGCCCTATTGCTTCCTCTGAAACCAGATATGAGGGCACCTAAGCCCCTGTGGGTACATCAGGTCACCCCCATGTGCTGGAGCTGTTGTGGCTACCACCACAGCAGACGTTACAGAGGCCTTGCCAAAGTCTGGCCCTCACTTGGGGGAGGTTGAAACAGATGGCAGTGTTAGGAGGTGAGGTGACAGAGGGAGCAGCTGGGGTTCTTCACTGATCAGACAGCCAAGAACTGGAGGGCAGTTGAGACTGAGCAAATCAGGGAGGAATATAAACTGGATCTGGAACAGACTACACACAGACGAACATGGATGCTACTTTTATATTGGAATTGTGTAGCTATGGACACACATTCAGGTGTTGTCTGTATTCACTCAGACTTTATTACTTGTCCCCTGAATACAGGGATGAGCCACCCCCTACAGGAGGCTTGGAAGACAGGTTCTGCAGCTCCGAGCAGTTTTGTTGCCTGGAGGCATCCTTATTCCTCAGGAGAATTTCACTTTCCTGGAAACTTAATATTATTTAATTCCATTGTCTGGTTTCATATCATGATGTCACCAAGAATACAGGAAGATGGGAGCTGACCCAGGATGAGATTGCAACTGAGATCCAAATCAACCCTCCAGAGGGCTCTGGAGTGAGGATGGCCCTTCAGCGTTGTCCTAAGTGAAGCCAAGGGACCAGCCTTTGTATTCCTGCATCAGCCAGTCATCAGGCAGGCCGCATCCTGAGGGGGAATGTAACCTCGGATGAGGCAGTTCCCTGCACCTCTTGCTCAGCAAGAGATGCAACTCTGAGCCCAGTGGCCAGAGATGGGCAAATGGGCCCCGTAAATGGGGATCTCGGTGGAAGGCCACAATATTCTTGGGTAAGGAAAAGGTTTCTATACCCTTCAAGGTTCTTCTGACTGGTCTAAGAATCAAGTTGACATGAGGCAGATTAACAGGAGAAAATCAATTTTAATTTCATACATATGGGGAATCCACATAAGCATGAGATTCCAAAGACAGTTGGGCAACATGAGGTACATTTGTCATCTTCAATTAAGGAGAAGGGGGTAGGGGTCTTGGGCTACAAAGGGAAGAAAGGCAATTCACAGGAAGAATGGAAAGAGTAAATGTTTGGTAAACAAGTGCTTGTTGGGCCATCCAAAAACAGTGGGACATAGAGAGGACTTTGATCAAACAGGCCTTGCTAGGTTCCCCCCTGTCTACCATAACTAGTTCATATTCTAATGCAGTTATTTATGGTGCTAGCTCACTTTCTGGAGCAGGTCTTCTATCTTTTAGGCAGTTAGAGGGAAGGTGAAAGTTCTTCCTGAGTCTTTGAGCCTTGATTGTTCTCAGCTCAAAATAATCTTCATGCCAAAGTGGCACATCTTGGGGTAACTTATTCTAAACCCCTACAATGTCCACTACAGTGCTATCATCTTGACTAAACTTCTCATGTTAAAAATTGCAACTAAATCTAATGATGATTTTCCTCCAAAACTGAGCACACTGATTCACCCTAGACTTTTTCCCCAGAGTCAAAAAGGTTTTCAACGAGGTATGATAAAAGATTCTGAAGAAGTGTTTAGAATGATCACATGATGTTCCTTTCTGGGCTCCGACGATTCCCTGATTGGCCAGAGTGACAGGGATAGGAGGAGCCAGGCCTCGAGTAATCCCAAATTCCAGGAACCTTTTCCTTAACAAATAATCTGAAATACGAATTCAGCTTTCTTAACCACCATGCCTAGATTTCCTTGATCCTCCTGAACCAAAGGGCAAACCCAGCCATTTGCTATAGACCAGGAGAACGTTGCCCTATTGCCTCTATAGATCTAAGGAAACCAGTAAAATAAAATAACATAAAGTAGCTTCATTCTGAGGTCAAAAATTTCATAACCCTCCTCGTACCCCAAGTCTGGCTAATTTCTTCTGATCATTCTCCCTTGCCTACCCCTTATGCTTCTACCGTCCCCACCGGCATTGAGACTGCAGAGTCCTCTCATTGTACCCAAGCACTCAAACTCTGGTTTACCAGGTGCCCAGAATCCCCCACGTGCCTGAAGTCAGTGCTTCTCCAAGTGCAGTCTGAATGCTTTGGGTTCTGACACAGTAGAGAATGAGTCCCCTATCCTGGCTTTTCCCAGAACAGCTGTCATGGGTTTGGTTTTGTTATTGTTGCTTTCAAACTGTTTTACACCCCGGTCTTTCTATAAAATGTTTTCTGAAGAAAGGGCAAGAAAATACATTTGAAAGCTCTCTTCTTGATCAACATTCAAGTGTTTCGCATCACCGACACCAAATTGACCTCCGCTCCGTAGCTACGCTTCCTCTCTTGTGCACAAGCTCCCATCCCTCTAACACTTGCTAATTTCCCACTTGAACTGGAAAAATGTGGACTTGAAGTAGTATCTAGCTGGCGTTGCATAACCTTGTGTCCCACTGTGTTCCCTTTACCGTTGCCTTCTATTGTGACAAGCAGTATCTGTTTACCATCTACATTTGTGGCATAAATTTTTCATCTTAAATAGGTATAATTCAGATCATTGGGTAAACGAATTTAAAGAAAACTATGAAGTAGTGATAGAGCAGGCTCACAGAGTTATGGCAAAGAACATGACGGTGGTACAGGGACGAATGCCATCCTCTGTGGGGCAGTTACCTCTTGCTGGGCATTCCATCTGTGCTCTATCACCAGCAGCATCCAAATACAGCACAGCAGGAGTCCTCCACCTTATTGTGCATGAGAACCAGAGAGTCCGATGCAGTATGTTGGAGGTGGGCCCCAGGAATCTGCATTCTCAACTGGCACCTCAGCTTGGTCTGATGCCTGATTATCCCCTTTGCAATGTATCCATTCTCCAGGACCCCCGGACCACAAGTTCATTAAAGGCAAAAATCATATCTTGCTCCCACTTAGCTGGGCTTAGCACATGGGCAGCCCTCAAATCAATGTTTGGGAGATACAGTCAGCCAGATGGGGCAGAAATTACATGCAACCAGAAATGTCAAGCTGGGAAAAAGCCTTTCTATTCTACAACTAGGGCATGGAGCTCAGAGAGGCTGAATTCCTTGGGTCTGACCCTTGGCCGATGAAAAGCAGAGACGCAATGAAGGCCAAATATCTGAGCTCCCAGCCTGAGTCCTAGACCACCACCTCTTGAGTTGGCAGGCCTGCCAGGATTCGAGCAGGAGTTGACGAGAAGTTAAAAAATCATGAGCACATATTCAGTTAGTTTGGTTCACTCGGTCCCACAGGAGAATCTAAGCCCTGAAGTTTGCAGAAGCATAAGAGAGACTATGAGAGGCCAGGTAAATCTGCCTGACTGGAGGAAAAAGACTAAGGAAATCTACTTTAGGTTGTCAGTAGCAACTTCTTCAAATGCAGTTGTCAGACGTGGAAGATGTCTTGGAACCAAATAAGGATACACAGGGAACCAGACAGAGACATAAGGAAGCTGTACCGCTCCCCAGTGCAGACCGTGAGGTCCTGTGTGGCCGCCTCTATCCATCCCTATGTCCCTACAGTTATTGCCTCCATACAAGGCCCCATCAAACACGCATCTGGGAGATCTTTTAGTGCAGTAGTTAGCCTGTGGGTTCAAATCCTTACTCTGCTTCTCACTCTCTCTATAATCTTAACATTCCCTGTACTTCCATTCTCTCAACTCTAAAGCTGGAATCATAGTAGTCCCTACTTCGTAGTGCTGTTCTTACATCAAGGGTCAGAACTCTGCCCCTGTAACGTGCAGTGAGCATTGGGTCAGGGTGAGCAATTGTTCACATTTTTCAGTAATCACCAGTCAAGCAGCTATTTTAGGCCTCATGAGAAATGCAGGGATGCCCTAAAGGTATGTTATGGACTGAATGTTTGTGTCCCCCAAACATGATGGCATTAGGGGGTAGGGCCTTGCAGAGGTGATAAGGTCATGAAGGAGGAGCCTCACGATCGGGATTAGTACCCTTATAAAAAAGACCCCAGAGAGCTCCCTCGCCCCTTCTGCCATGTGAGGACACAGTGGGGAAGACAGTTGTCTATGAATCAGGATGCGGGACCTCAACAGACATGGAATCAGCTGGCACATTGATCTCAAACTTTTCAGACTCGAAAACTGTGAGGAATAAATTTCTCTGCTGTATAAGCCACGCAGTTGGTGGTATTCTATTATGGCAGCCTGAGTGGATTAAGAGAAGTCACATGCAATCAGAGAGAGGAGATGCGAAGTGTACAAAAACAACTCTAAATCAAGGGCAGACCATATAGGTCCCAAGGGCTGTGTATGTAAACAGTTCCCATTCAGGAAGCATCTACCTGAGGTGGACACTCCAGTCATTCCCATTGGACAAAGAATAGAACTAAGGCATGGAGTGCCATAGTCGCACAGATAGTGGGTAGCAGCACCAGATTTTGAAGACTGGCTTTTCACACTGCCAGGCTTGTCTTCTTCACCACAGTACATGGTACACATTGCCTGCTAACACGCTATCTTACAGGTGTGATGTGTGACAAGGTTCTAAATAAACTGCCTCAGTAGCCCAACACTCCTCAGAGTTAACCTTACCAAACCCAATAAATCCAGAAGAGCACTGTATGTGCTAAATGGTCCCTAAGTTAATTATTTAATTAGCTAGTGATTTACTAATGCATTAATAAGCCACTAGTACCTAAATATACTCATCGATACTAGCCTAATACTAGGACCATTAGGCTGGAAATAGTCCACAGGCCCAATCCATTCCCTGGTAACTAGAACAATGCTTGGCCCATAGTATGTATTCAGTAGATATTTGTTGAATAAATCAACTTACTCCTGGTTTCCATTTATTTTCATGTTCAAATATCTTTAACATTTTATTATTATTGTTTGTGTTTTGTGTGTAACCCAAGTGCTTGGTCTCATAAGGACTATGAGCTTGCTAATGTTCAAGTGATACCTGGCCTTTCCTAATCCCTCCGTCAATTGAAGAAAACCAGGAGTCACAAGAGAAACTTTCCTGTTGTGCAACTCTACCAGAAGCTGAGCAAATACCTCACCCAGACAAGGAATGCCAAGAAGACCCTGGACGGGGTGGAGTGGGGAGCAAGCAGATAGACTCTGAGGAGAACAAAAATTCTACATCAAGGAACATGCCAGTTGTCTAATTAAGAAAAAGGGACAGGGAATTAGAGACAGAGCCAAGTGTCAAAAGATAAATTAGAACAGGTATGAAACTGCTGACCTGCTATTCCTATTCTAAAATCTTTAGTCAACATAGCCATAATGCAGTTTATGTTCCTATCAGCTGCTCACTGATAGGAGAAACTGTAATAACAAGTCTTCCTCAAAAGTACGGCCTGAGTCAGAGAAAGACAAATATCATATGATTTCACTCATATGTGCAATTTAAGAAACAAAACAGATGAACATAGGGGAAGGGAAGGAAAAATAAGATGAAATCAGAGAGGGAGACAAACCATAAGAGACTCCTAACTCTAGGAAACAAACTGAGGGCTGCTGGAGGGGAGGGGGGTGGGGGGATGGGGTAACTGGGTGAAGGGCATTAGGAGGGCACATGATATAATGAGCACTGGGTGTTACATGCAGCTGATGAATCATTAAATTCTACCTCTGAAACTAAAAACAAGAAAAAGAAAGCAAGAGGGTTGCCTGGGTGGCTCACTTGGTTAAGGGGTTAAGCGGCTGCCTTTGGCTCAGGTCATGATCTCAGGGTTGTAGGATCGAGCCCCGCATCAGGGTCCCTGCTCAGTGGGGAGTCTGCTTCTCCCTCTCCCTGCTGCTCCCCCTGCCTGTGCTCTGTCACTCTCTCTCTCTCTCTGTCAAATAAATAAATAAAATCTTTTAAAGAAAGAGAGACAGAGAGAGAGAAAAAAGAAGAAGAAGAAGAAAGGAAGAGAGAAAGGAAGGAAGGAAGAAATGACTTCAAATAGAGGTATCCATTTAACACAAGAGTTTTGGGGAAAAAAATTAACAATTATACCTTAGTCCCCATTTTAATTATATTAACAATGGAGATGCAAAAAAAAAAAAAGAAAAGTATGGCCTGGCTTCCCTTACTTTGCAAGGAAAGCTCTCAGCTCTGCACAACACAAATTGGAAATTGGAATGGGCTGGAGGAGGCTATGAGCATGAAGCAGAGGGAAACTGAGGTTTCCCATGCATGTGCTTCCTTGAACAGGGGTGGGTGTGGGAGCAGCAGGCCTGAAGTGAAGGCTTCCCAAAAGTGATCAGGTGAGATGGAGCAGTGAGGTGTAGGGGGCAGAAGTAGAAGAGTAGCCCTGAGGTTCCAATACAATCTGCAGGAAAACTCGAGGCCTCCAGTGGCCAGGAGATGCCATGGAATGGGCCTCCTGTGCCAGGCACTGTGTTAGTCCACCTTGGTGCAGAGAATCACTGGGCGTCTCAGGAAAGCCAAGTGAAATTTTACTTGTATTTGACTTTTTATCAGTCAGAGTCCTGGTGGGAATTGGATAGCAACCCCAGCCATGTAAAAGAGGAGAGATGGTAAGAAACTATTTACAGAGGAAGTTGGCAGGATTAGTTGAAACTAACCAGGGATAATGTCGTACCCCAGGGCTAAAATATCAGGGACCCACTACCATTCCTGAACCCACAGGGCCAAGGGGAAGTACGGGTGGCCAATCCCTGGGGGGAAGGAAGTAGCTATAGATGGAGATGCCCCCCAATAGCAGCTGTGGCCTTTGGTACAGGGCACAGCCAGCCAGGAGCAAGGTGTTTATTTATTTATTTATTTGTTTGCTTGTTTTGTTACCTCTACCTCAACAATAGGAGGCTGACTACATGAGTCTCCATCCAGGTCCCAACGACAAGCACTCTTTCCACTTGTCCCTTCTGACGTGCACTTCTCTCCTGTGGCCAACTATAGCTCCATGCCTTTGTAAGGAGTTCTTTTTTTAAAAAAGTCCCTTTGACTTATCCCATTTTGAGATGTTGCCTTTTTCCTGTTGGGACCCTGACTAATTCATTTTATAAGGATGATTTTTGTAAGGTGACATTTTTCTACACTAACACATATCCAATTTTTCAATGGAAATAAAAGAGGAATTAGAATTTATTTACCAGAAATCCATTTTTACATCTTATGAACCATTTTGGAATACATATATTCTACTACAGGAAGGCATACCTGGACAAGGGACAGTTCATTATAATTTTTTTCTTATACAAGTGGGAAAAATAAGAGAAAGAGGACATTGGTTCCCCCAAGACCCTGGGGCTCTGCCACTGGCTAGCTCCAAGCTTCCACTTAAGTAATTGCTTCCCAATGCTAACATTAAAAGCAAACTGACCATTTAGCTTCACTATTCAGCAAAATATGGATTGAGGGGATGTTCATCTGAACAGAGTTGAAATTCTAATTGTGTCCATCCTGCCTTAAAAAAAAAAAAAAAATTCCATGGCTCCCCACTGTGTATAGAATAAAACAAGCCCAAACCAGAAACTCCAAAGCCCTCTGAGAGTCAACTCTAATCTGCTCTCTCTTCTCCCCTTGCCCCCTGAGCAACTATCTTATATTCCACCTACCCCAGATGGCTACAACCCCGTTCCCTGTCCATGTCCTGTCTTTACTTCTCTGTGGCTGTGTACTCCCTCTGTCTGAAATATGTTTGCATCTCTAGCTGTTCAAATCCTACTTGACAAATCCTACAAGACTTCTACACATATTCACAGCAGGTACAATTTTTTTTTTAAGATTTTATTTATTTATTTGACAGAGAGAGAGAGACACAGCGAGAGAGGAAACACAAGCAGGGGGAGTGGGAAAGGGAGAAGCAGGCTTCCCGCGGAGCGGGGAGCCGGATGCAGGGCTCGATCCCGGGACCCTGGGACCATGACCTGAGCCGAAGGCAGACGCTTAACGACTGAGCCACCCAGGCGCCCCAACAGCAGCTACAATTTTAATAGCCACAAACTGGCAACAACCCAAATATCTATCAACAGGTAAATGGATACACAAACTGTGGTATATCCATACAAGGAACGTCTACTCAACAACAAAGAACATGCTATTGATACGTGTAATAACATGGATGACTCTTACAATCACCATGCTGAGTGAAAGAAGCCAGATCAAAAAAAGAGTACATACTGTATGATGCCATTTATGTAACATTCTAGAAAGTGTAAACTAATTTGTAGTGGCAGAAAGGAGATGAAATGGTTGCCTGGGGAGTGGGGGAGTGAGGGCAGAAAGAGGAGGGATTACCAAGGGCCTCAAGGACTGACTCTTCAGAGGGTGATAAAAATGCATGTTACTCAGATTGTGATGATGGTTTCGCGATGTACACGGTTGCAAACTCATAAAATTGAACGCTTTAAAAGTGTACAGTTTATCATACACCAACTAAACCCCAAAAAAGTGTCAAAAATACCATAAACAAATTAAAACACAAACTGGAAAAACTACCGGCAGCAAGCCAGAAAAGGAGTATTGCACATAATATATTAAGTGCCCCAACAAATTTAAAAAATACAGCTAAAGCAAAAAAAAAAACAAAACACAAAACAATACAAATAAAGCAATGGGAAATGGGTACAGAGCACAAGTAGGCAATTCAGAAACAAATAAATGACACACAAGCGTGCATAAAATCGCTCTGCCTCCACAGAATGTAAAACTACGCTCTCTTCACCAAGGGGCCTGAAGGACCAGCGGTGTCTGGACCGAACTTCCAGGCGGGGAGAGGGCTTCTCCAGGAACGTCTCCACCACATCCTCAGCCCTTGCACCTTCATGTTGCTGGGCTCAGCATCCTCTGCGCTACCTGCCATGTGAGGTCACCAAGTTCCTTATGGGAAACGGAAGCCCCATTCCACGTGGACGCTTGTCCTTGCATTGCCCCTCCCTAGTCATCACTGGAACCTTACCATGTTCCAATCACAGTTATATTTAGATCACTCCAGCCCAATACAAAGAAGGGGTGGTTACTAATCCTCAGGCCAGGAGGGAGCTCAGTGCGGGGCTTTATCATGGTCTGCGTTCTGTCACAGTCAGTGGCACCCCCCTCTCTCTCCCCCCAGAGGGAAAACAGACTCCTGCGGGCCATGGGCGGGTCGGTTCATTGCAAGTCCGCTCAGAACCCAGCACAGCCCCACCCCCACCCCCGCGCCCTGCATCCGGAGTAATATCTCGAGTTTTAGTATGGCATTTACCAAAGCACCGTCGCGTACTTTTTAATTCAACTTTCACAAGAACCCTGAGCTAGGATGATGATTCATCTTATCATTATCCTGACTCTGAATGTGAGGAAGCCGAGGCTTGCCGTTGGGTGCCTTTCCTCGCTCGAGGCGGCCCCGCTGCATCAGAAAGGGGACGCGAGCCTCCCGCCCCCCTGCCTCCTCGTCCTGGGTTGCCCCCAGCGCCCTGATCACTTTGGGAAGGAGAGCTGACGGAAGCGCCCCGAGCCGGGGAGGGTGCACCCGCAATGCGCTCTGGCGACT